GGGGGGGCATGCGTATTTGCCTACTTCGTTTGTTGTATCATCAACTGACCTTCCTCTGGTAGATGGCGATCCAGTCGGTGGTGGAGAACCACTTGTGGTTCTTGATGTCGTTGACGCCGTTTTTGAGGTTGCCAAAACGTTTGGTCAGGTCCACCTGCAGCAGGTTGCGTAGCAAGTCCTTCAGGTCCGAGCTGAAGTGGGACGGGAAGCGAACCTGGGGACATCCAACATACACACAGCTTGTTTAGAGACCTGTGCATGAGCAGCTTGTTCATTTGTTCTATCTTGATCAAAAACAAAGACAAGAACACTGACTTGATAACGGTCATTTCGTGTTGGGAAAAGGTGAGGAAAAAAAAGGGAAAAAGAAAAGAAGTAAGACTAAACAGTGGGCCTGATGTACTGACACCTTATTTCAGAATCAGAGAATCACTGCCATTGTCTTCTTGGCATTAGCCAACAATTGGGAAGAAATATTACACCAGGTTCACTTTGCTAAGGTTTGATCTTTTCCCTGATGTGACAACTCGAAGGGGTTGGTTCTAAACAGGTGGGGGTTGTAGTGAAACTTTGAAAAAAAACCATCGGACAATAGCATCATCAATAATGTACAGGTTGTGCAGGGTAACCATGTGATGACAAAAACTATGGACTATTTTTATCCCTAATTCCCGTTCTAAAACGGAGTTAACTACATCTATGACCCCAATCAATTAAAACTCCTATCATTTCAAACCCCTATCATCTTAAGGTCTATTTTTAAATACTTGTTACAGGTAATAAATGACTTACCTTTCCTGACACGATCTTCTCGTAAATCTGGATGGGCTGGTCAGCAAAGAAAGGGGGATATCCAGCAGCCATTTCATAAATGAGGACACCCAAAGCCCACCAATCCACAGCTTTGTTGTAACCCTGTACAAAGACAAAAATAGACATAGCAATATTCCCTCGTCACTCATGGGCCACAAATACAATATTTCATTCTCACCAATCCCATGGAGCAAAAATATATAGAACCTGTCAATTCTGGATTAATATAGTATTTCATAAGTGTGCCAAATAATCCCCCCCCCCCTCCCAAATGCTACAATTACTGTCATTTACTGAAAAAAAAGGGCAAAGTTAACAGGCAAAAGCCACCAAACCAAAGAAAAGAAATTAAGGCCTAGCAGTGCCACCCTCAAACCACCCATCCAGTAACAGATCAGGACAACAGGAACAGGGGAAAAAAGTAAAAGACTCGGATCACACCAAAGCACTCATTAAAAAGGACACAGTCTTACAATTTGAAAGGAGTTTCAGGGGTTTTAAAAACGTGGAAGGCCAGCAAGTAGTTAAGTTATAGAGTGCTAGTAAGTGGAGAGTACCAGACTGATTCCTTCCTTACAATTTGTATTTTTGTCCAAGACTCCACAAAGAAAAGGCTAAATGGGCCCTTTTTGATCAAGTCTTAGCTCAAATTCACCAATCCTTTTAGTTTTATTAAGTGTTTTACGGCACTTGCAACACAATAAGGTCATATATGTGCCGAAAATTAGAGGTGTTGCAAGAGTCACAAACACAAAAAAGAAGGAGGGGAGACAAGGATGATAGATGTTTGATAGGAAAGAAGAAGCAAACCACACCACAGCACCTGCCAACCACCCACATTCACCAATCTGTGGTGAGCATCAAATAATAGGTGGCTGGAGGATGGACACTGACCTTGCTGAGGATGATCTCGGGGGCCAGGTACTCAGGGGTGCCACACAGTGTCCAGGTCCGGCCCTTAACACGCTTGGCAAAGCCGAAATCCGTCACCTGGACAGAGCACAGGAACACAACTGTCAAGCACGAGTCAGAAATAAAGTCATGATGACAGCGTTATTTGGCATGCAAATCTGATTACGAAAGAAAGTTTTTTTAAAATCCATTTCTTTTAACCTGATTTACTAGTCTTCACTTGAATAAAAAGTGATCAGTGCTAATTTTCTCACCTTTCGTGTTAGATGATTAGAGTACTACAGTCTGCCTGTCATGTTTTTTAAGGTCTTTTATCACAAAACAAAAAAAAGAAGAATAAAAAAGAAAAGGAAAAAGAAATCAGTTAAAATTTGTGCTACAATCTCATTTGAAATGTACAAATTACAGCAAATGTAGATCATTTTTCAAAACATTTGATTGGCTTTGTAATGATGAATGAAACCTTTGCAGCTCATTATCGTGCACTAATTAACATGGATGAAATCTATTACATAATTAATGTCATGAGAATGTTCATGAAACAAAAGAAGAAAATATAGAGAAGAAAGGTCACCTTAACCAGAACCCAAGGCCAAGCTTAGAAATATACTCATCCAAGAGAACCAATCAAAGCATTCTCGTGTCTTTGTCATCAACTGTCTATTGAATACAAGGAAGATGTATGTTTCTTTATTTCTTCCAAAATGCAAAACTCATGCCAGTGCATGGATGACGTACTTAATTAAATCTGTATGTCAGTTTCAGAAAAGCAGAAGGTCTTGATTTTCCCATCTAATGGGTTGGGAGTTTACGTTGGGAAGGGGAGGGGGGGTAGTTCTCAGATCAAATTGTTGAGCAATAGTTGCTACAAATCTCATCACAAAAAACCATTCTCTTAGGGACTGAAAAAAAACAGGTATCAAAATTTCACACAATGTACTACACAAGAAGACAAAAAACGAACAAATACAAAACAGACACAACAATTACTTAAACAGATCAGGAAATGTCTAGATTATAAAACAACTCTCATTCTTTCAAACACAAAAAAATACAAACCAAATGCACTGAACATTACATAAAAGCTGTTCAAATTTTTCTGAAACATGTACTTATATTAATTTAATTAACTCTATTTTCCCCATTAACACAGTTTCAAGTGGGATGCTCCAAGACCTCTCCTAATAGGTACTCTGTTATAAAGAACTGTTATAAACTGAAAAAACAACAACCTGAGACCAATACAGTCGAGGCGTTTTCAACGACCCCTGCGCCCTCCAACCACCCGCTCTGCCCATACAGAGCGCGACCGGTTGGTGACCAACAGCCCAAACTTATCCCCGTCAAGAGCGCCAGCAGAGAGTGGGCTATCTGGCCCGAGGAGCCTCAAGAAGGACACCAAAATCCTCCTATCTTCTCAACTTATCTCGGGCTTAGTTCAGAGTCAATAATACAATGACGTCAGAGAATGTGATGAGCCAGAGTGCGGCCGCCACCTCCTAGGGTTTGCGTTTGCTGGCACATCAAATGCATCGCAATGGTCAGTCTGAAGCCCGGCAAACAAAACAAACAAAAGAAAGAAAGAAAAAGTGTCAATTTCAGGAATCCGAATTTCCCAAATTATTCCGGACATTTCGCACCTCTGGCACAAATTTACCAGCGCCCACGACACACCAGAAGGCACGACCATCTGTTTCTTGACCATCCTTAATTTATTTATAGAGGCGCCAGGCATCCATGCCCAGCAGCTGTTTTAGCCACCATCTGTTTCTTTGTCTTGTCAGGTCCTGTGTTACAAACACACGGACCTCTGGGAGGGTGCCTTCAGTCCACAGGGGAACTTGTTCGCCGCTCTTATTGATTGACACATTTTACGCCTCCATCGATACGATTTAGATCATCTAGGAAGCGGGCTACTTCGACACTGCCCTCAGCGAAGTAGAACCTGTGCCGAGCGTGAGACAGCACCACAACAACAGTCAGGCGGGGAGTCACGATATGTTCAGCGTCCCCATTCGGGAATCCAACGTACGGTCTTGCGCGTTGAACGGCAGAAAGTGTAACCGTTTCGCAACAGACACATGTGTGTGTGTGTGTGTGTTCGTTCTGTTTATTCCAGGAATTGACGGGAGGTTTGATGCGGTCAGTTTCTTCAAGATCTATAGTTTGATAGAGCTTCTGCTGTCCTAGTTTCTTCAAGATCTATGGTTTGATAGAGCTTCTGCTGTCCTAGTTTCTTCTAGATCTATAGTTTGATAGAGCTTCTGCTGTCCTAGTTTCTTCTAGATCTATAGTTTGATAGAGCTTCTGCTGTCCTAGTTTCTTCTAGATCTATAGTTTGATAGAGCTTCTGCTGTCCTAGTTTCTTCTAGATCTATAGTTTGATAGAGCTTCTGCTGTCCTAGTTTCTTCTAGATCTATAGTTTGATAGAGCTTCTGCTGTCCTAGTTTCTTCTAGATCTATAGTTTGATAGAGCTTCTGCTGTCCTAGTTTCTTCTAGATCTATAGATTGATAGAGCTTCTGCTCCCTAGTTTCTTTCTGCGGGTGAAGAAAACGGTGAAACTGTTTAGGTTTAACGCCCCTATCAACTCTAATTGGTCACTTAAGAGGCGGAAGTCCCGAATTTAACGTCCATCTCTCAAAGGACCGAGCCAAGTGGGAATGTCGTGTCAAATGACTTTTCAAAGGACACAACACCGGACCGAGCTGAGGCTCAAGCCTCCGAACTAAGAATCTCACGATTACAAATCCCACTATGCTACCAACGCAACTTCTGCGGATGGTTGGAGGGCGTCACTGCAGTGTTCTTTCTCTACTATCCTAATCTCTTCTTGTGGGTGGCTGGAGCGCGTTCCTAGTACGTCCTACTTCTTTTCTTGTCCTTTTATTGTTTGCTGTGTCTTACTTTTTTTTTCCTAACGTGAACCGAGTCATTGTTTCGAATTGCTTCTCTTTACTAACACAAATAACTAACCAGCACTTCTGTTCTTTGCTAAATGAGCGGCCAATTACCCGGGGAGGCCTTAAACCACAACTCAACAGCTCACATACGCTCTATCCTATACGTTGATTCTCTTAATAATTCCTATGTCTCCCTCTGTCTTTCTCCTTATTCGGTGGGTCCTACATTAACCCGGACAGAGGAGGCGTAAAATGCTCCCCAATACGCAACACACTATTGGGTATCACCGCAAACACACGTCTCCCTCTGTCTTTCTCCTTATTCGGTGGGTCCTACATTAACCCGGACAGAGGAGACGTAATATTTTCCCCAATACGCACCGCACTATTGGGTACCACCGCAAACACTTGACGTCCGTCATGTAACAGACAAGCTGACAAGTCAATAGACCAGCAGCGGTTTACGTCTCCACTTCTCCACACACAAACTCCAACTCGTGTCCTTGTGCCCTTTGACCCTCAGCCCTGTCGTGCCACAAATGTCCACAAAACAAAACTGTATGATGCTTGAAAACAGAACCCTTCTTTTTTGCCAGTACTACTTCAGACTTGTTAGGTCATGCGGGTGCTCCAAGAACGCACCGCTTCTTACTCCTACGCTTTCGGGCACATTGTTGGAATGATTTCTGGCGCGTTGAAAGAACTTTCCAACCGAGCTTTTAGAAATTTTGCTCAACGCGAACCTATTAACACCGTGCATCCAAAGTGAACGAACCCGTATGTTTATCTCTTTACCTACACTTTTTTACAAATGAACAATGCCTTGAAACAATGGACAAATTTTATAAAATTTTGAAAACTGAAACTATCTAGTCTCCCTCCTTAATATACAGTCTCTTTATTCTACAACACACACACACACACACACACACACACACACACACACACACACACACACACCTCATCAGCTCCATTTTAGGACTTAGAAAGAGCAAAAGTGCTACTACAAATGAAGAAAGGCAATTTTTAATTTTTAATTTTTAAAAATTTTTTTTTTGGGGGGGGGGTTAAGAGGCTCAAAGTATTACATCTACCTAATAAATATACACACACTCACAAACATACACGATTTGACGAACATGAACGGAGAAAAGACAAACAAACAACAACACATACAAACACACACACACTTTCTATAATCAACAAGTTAACTATACGCTGAAACGAGAATAACAAACAGAAACCAACAACTGTATCCCCTTTTTAAAAAAAGCGTTCTTAACAACAACAAAAATGAAAAAAGAAAAAAAACAAACAACCCCACAAACAGTTTAGCCGACTATGACTGGAAAGAATCATAATAATTCTGAACGTGATGAGATTTGTAGCAATAACCATAGATACACTGTAATAGATATACGACGACCAGTTCTCATCTACTCGCTAATGAAGGGGGAGAAAAAGGTGCGTGTCATGACAAAGCACAGAATAAAACTCATATATATATATATTTATATAGATGCCTATATAGGAGTGGGCGGGGCCCTGTGATACATCATGCACGTGCTACGAGCAAGCTTCTACAACATCTAACAGCTACACACAACAAGCAATGGTACACACAGGCAAAGGTACACACAGGCAGTGGTGCACACAAGCAGTGCTGCATGCACACGGGAGCAATCAACGAGCTGCAGTCATATATTCATAATTAGGATGAAAATAGAAATCAACAAATCAACAAAAATTTAAAAAATAAAAATTATATATATATATATATAAAGCAAAATAATTAATATTGTAAAAATCAGAACGTCGAAAATATTTGTTTTTTTCCAAAATCGAGAACATTGATGGACAGCATGTCGGACAGTCACAAACACAAACAAACAAACAAACAAACAAGCAACTAGCAAACCAAACGTGTATGGTGTAGTCCTACACGTGAAACACGTGAAACCATATGCACCGACGGAGACCAAAACAGGTACCGTAGTGCTAAAAGCAAATCGTAAAATCTTTGGAAAATAATTATGTACTTTTAGATTAGAATGACCTCACCCTCTTCTTCTTTTCGCGCGCACGCACGCACACACACACACACACACACACACACACACACACACACAAGCACACACCATTCATTAGTATCTTTTGCACGAGTCATCTTTTTAA